AGATAAAAATTAAATATAAAAACCAAATACAAGGAAAAAAAAAACGCGCAAGCATTTTCTAAACGTCTTTATAATTATCCTTTTTTCTTATTTTTTTATTTGTTATTTTTTTTTGTTATTTTTTTGTTTTCAAATTGTTTATTCTCTTGTTTTCCCATTTTTTTTTTTTTTTTTGTATTCAGAATTTTTTATTCTATGTCCTTTTTAATAAAATTTAATATAAAAGTATACAAACACATTTGGCTAAGGACCTCGCTGTTATATATATATATATATATATATATATACAAGGGTATTTATATGTGAAGAAACTAAAATGAAAACTGAAAATGAAAAAAACAAAACAAATAAATTTCAAAGAATGAATGGTTTACGTGGCAGCACATTTTGTCTTTTTAAACAAATGAAAATTAAAATATTTTATTCACCAAAAACTGTGGTCATTCTACCTAATTTTACTTATTCAGCAATACAATTTTAATTGCTGAATACTTTACATATTACGTTTAAAATTACGTTAGCAGAATTTTCTTAAACAGCGCGTCAAATCTGCACAAAATGTAAAACGATTTCTCATTCTACACACCACAGAATCTATACAGTGTGATTTATTCTGAGTTGAACATGGTGAGAACATGGGGTTTCTTCACTAGACAATGAAAATTTGTTATTAAATAAATCTTTTTTCTATTCATTCTTATAGTAAATCTGAAGAGAGTTTACTCACATTTTGGTGATGACCATATAGACAATTCACAAAATGATGAAGGCACAATGAAGATAATCTGAGAGGTGCCTGCTACTAGTATGATCAAATGACAAGAAATAGACATACCAATGAAATTTATTTGTTTAGAATTTATTTTCTAAATGTGCTGTTTACTATAAACAAAACTAAAACAAAAAAAAAGCAAAACGAAAATGGAAAAGAAAAAGGACCAAGCCTTAAGGCTATAATTTCTAATCTGCTTTTCCCTTTCATTTTTTTCTTTATTTTTTTTCTATATCATATCGTCCTTAATTCGCGGTAACTAAAACCATTTATTTTGTTTTTGTAATTTAATTCGTTTGCTTTACAACAAAAAAGAAAAAAAAACTTAAATTTCATTTTCATTTCTTTTTTTGATTTTTTCGCTTTCTATTCCAATTATATTTTTCGCATAAATTTCGGTTAGAATTTTATATTTAATACACTATGATTTTTATATTATGCTTTATAGAATTGGGGATTTGGTGGGGAGTGGGGCGGAGGTCAGATTATCTAGATAATCGTATTGATTATTATATTTTGCATAAATCAATATTCGAATAATTTTTTTGTCTCATATCATTATCCTTATATTTTATAGACCAATTCATATAACCAGCTAGAAAATCATTAACATTTTTACATATTTTAATATTATGAATTTAATTTTCTTGGGGTTTAAAGCCCAATATCATATAAGAATTATATTTTATGATCAAATACTTGAGATATTTTATAGAATAAGTTTATTGATTTTCTTATTTAAGGATATTTTCTTTTAAAAAATTTTTATGGATTAAAATAATATAATTGATTCACGCACACGTTTCCTTGACATCAAAATTGCAATAGTACGGTATTAATACGCAATTCAGCAAATATAAGTTATAAGCTGAATTGTATATTAGTACTGTATTACTGTTATTTTGAAATCATGGCTTTTTTAAAATTTAATCATCATATTTTTCTGAGAAAATATCCATTTAATTACAAATATTTAAAAAAGGAGCTTGTATTTTCCCATTAAAGCTCGTGATTTCTGGGAAAACCATTATGTTCCAGAATGTTGAAACATTTAGTGGTGAACAATGGTTAAGATTCTCAGTTTTCATTAAATAACACAAAAATACAATTTTGTTCTCTTTAAAATTAAAAATACATGACATATAAAGCATATAGAAAATCCTTGAAAATTTTCAATTTTAAATATATGAGAAAATCAGTCAATTTAACAATATTTTACCATAGTACCATGGGCAGTCATGTAAAAAATTCATAAGCAGAATAAAATAATTACATTGTAAATTGTTCCAATAATAACAACTGTAAATGAACATAATGTGTGTAAAAAAAGCAGTAAATTGAACACGTTTAAATATATGTTGTATATATTTTGTATAACATTGTTATTTATAATGAAAAATTTTTAATGTTAAGAATTTAAAAAAAAAATATTTAATAATTAAATTCGTTCTATTTCGTTTACTATTGTTCTGTTTCTTTGCTTTTCTTCCTTTTATATTTCGTATACATTGCAGGAAGAACAGGAAAATTCAATTTATAAAAATTTAATATTATTTTTTTGAAATGTTATTTTTCTACTAAAAATTTAATTATTTAATAAAATACATACAAAATTTTTAAAAAATAAAATTTTCCCTGAAAAAAATTAGGATAATTTTCGTAACCATAAATCCAGTGATTTGAATCTTTAAGCCATGAACAATTACTGAATTAAGCTTAAGCATAAATTTTTGATTTATATTTAAAATTCAGGTTGTTAAACTCAAAGATATGGTGTTGTATTACAAAATTGCAGTAATACGGTATTAAAATACAATTCAGCTTATAAGTTTTAATTGCTGAATTACTTATTAATATCGTATTACTCTAATTTTGATCTATTCAATTACCTACTACACTGGCCGATGTTTCTAACACTCAGGAAATTTTTAAATGTCTACAAGCACGTGCCTATTATATTAATAATGCACACGCACACAATACTTCATGTAACATTAACTTTTATCATAAAAATAAAGGAAAACTTTAAGAAATGGAAACTGTCAACTTCTTCATATCAAAATTGTCAAGTTTCTTCGAGAATTTTCTCTTTTTTTCTGTTTTTGGCCCTGTTATGTATGTGTTTTATGTGTACACAATTACATTTTACTGTAATAAATTATTTCTTGAGAACTATATGGATATTAACTTTTATTTACACGTATTATATGAGAAATATCAAAATAAAAAAGTTTAAAGTAATTTAGACTTATAATTTGTTAAAAAAAGGACATTTCTCTTTAACAGTTTTATATTCTAACCTTAAATATAGGTGAGTTTCAAGTTTTAGTAATGAAAAATAGTGCTAAAAATTAGTACAACAAAATTGCATACTTTTGGGGGAAAAATATTAAAATAAATTTCAATAGCTCTTTTGTATTAATAATTTTTAAAGATTAAAATTTTATATAAGAAAACAATTACCGTTATATTCAGAATTTTCTTCTGGAAGAGTAATTCTATTAGTTGTCCATTAGAAATATTTCCAATATTAATAAAACTGGGCGGGCAGACAGACTGCAACTAATAAAATCAATATTTCTGGAAAACAAAAAATATTTGTTCAAAAATCTTCTCAAAATGTGAGGCTAACCATTAAAATGAATTTCTGCTCATACACAAGCACATAAGGACATACTCACTCACACACATGGTATATACTTTATTTTATTTGCGTATTTCTCAAGTTATTTTCGTTTCAAAAAAAAACAAAATTTCAAACTTGAAAAGAAACAGAGAGAGAGAGAGAGAAAATCAAGTTAAAAATATTGTAAAAAAAAAGAGGAATGAAAATAAAAGAAAAAAAAATTCCAGTACATCAAATTTAAAAAAAAAAATTTAAAAAAATCCATTTGGGATTGTGTTGAGAATAAAATCTTAAAAAAATTAAGCTAAACTTTTATTCTTCTTTCTCTTTTCTGCCTTCATTTCAAATCTCTAAGGATCATTTAAAAAGGAAAAAAAAAACCGAAAATAAATATGAAGAGAAAACCAAAATTACAATCAAACCGCATTTACTTTTTTCCTTTTTATAAAAAAAAAAATAAAAAACCAAATATAAAAATAAAAATTAAATAGTAATTTATTTTTGGAACAGATGGAAAAATTTTTTTTGAATCAATCAGTAATTATAAACAAAAAATCATCATCATTTAATTAAAAAACAAAATTTTCTCTTTAAAAAATTTGTTAAATTTAAATCACATGTCAATAAAATTTCAGGAATTGTGATGACAAACAAAAAAGGATTCTAAGAGATAAAAATTTTAATTTTTTTTTTTTGTTGAATAATTATGCAAATTGAATGTTCATGAAATCATGATTACATTAAATAAATTATCAAAGGATTTTAGAAATTTTCAAATAATTTCAAGTTACAATCTTCCCTATAGTATAAAAATCGATTATAGTTCAAATTGAGTGCCTCGCCTGTAGATTAAAGGTCGATTCAATGGGTAATCGAAATGATTCATAACAATTTAATAGCATGAACAGAGTTAGGAGTTGAGTCATCAAAAGATTACTCTAAAAAAATTACTCAAAAAACTATTTAAGAAATAATTATTCTTTATTACTTATTTAAACTTTATTTTTATATAAGTCCACACCACTTAAGAATCACTCATGAATATTATTTAAAATTTTCGACCCTAAATCAAAAGAAAAAAACTTAAAAAAGTCACTAGAAATGACTTCACTCAAAATTTTTACTAGAGATTGTCCATCATTAAATAGTCATCATTTAAAAAATCACTCAAAAAAATCACTCAAAAAAAAATCACTCAAAAAAATCTCTCGAGAAAATCTCTCAAAAAAAAATTACTCAAAAAAATTACTCAAAAAAATCACTCAAAAAATCGTCCAAAAAAATCACTCAAAAAATAATTACTCAAAAATGAGCTTTTTTTCATAACAGAAAAATCTAAATAGCATTAAGTTGTGATAAACTAAAAGCGAGTGTTACAATTCATTTGTAGTATTCAAACGTTCTTCCTTTCACACCAAACGCAAATGAATTTGCCTTTCCTTACAGCTCTAAATTCCAGTCAACGTCTTAAATGTGTATTCGCTAAGTGCATGCTTCCTCCTCCCATACAAAAGATACTCGAAGCTATTTATATCACCTGGTGCAATCCAATTTTTGCTACCCCAAATTGTTATATGCTAGCACATATACACATCTTATACAATGTTCCCAGACATTACGCCGACCACTGTGACAAAATATACATTGTGTATGCAGTATGAGATACTTATGTTTTTGTTTTTAAGAGTGTTGTATGAGCCTGAACATAGTCCCTGCCAACCTGCAGATCGTTAGATTTGCTCATTTCTCACTAAAGAATGAAAACATCTAAACGCCCAGCGTCTTTTTATATTTTTATATGTATGTGGTTAAAATCAATGAAGAATAAAGATTATTGCAAAAGAAATTTTAAAACTTAATGTCAAAGAATAAACATAAACACAACTAACAATCGAATAATGTACAATAATATTGATATTGATTAAGATACAATTCCAATTAAAGTGTCCTTTTCATTATGTAGAATTCAACAAATTTGTATAACTTTTAATTTTTCATTCATACATTCATAGAATAATTCTCCTGAAGACATTTTTATCTTTTATAACAATTTTCCAATTGTTATAATTTATAGAACAATATGACATTATATTCGATTTAATTTTTAATCTGTGATAAAATAATAATAACAATATAATCATTTGCCATAATAATGTAGAATTAAAATAATGCAATTATAAAATTTTTATAATAGAAAATCAAATAAAAATTTATAATAGTTTTCATACTTAATTTTCCAATTATGATTATGACAAATTTTTCCCATTATTATTCAATATTTTCAAAATATTATCCAATAATATTGAGAAAATATCCTGAAATTGAGTTTTTAAAATAAACAAATAATCAAGGATAATTTGAAAATGATTTTAAATATTTTAATATAATCTTTACTTATATCACATTTGAAAGATTAGAAAAATTATAAAATTTCTATTCAATATCAAATAAAGTGTAAGGATATTAATATATAACAACATAAAATTGTCATGTAAATATAGAATATAAAATTTTTAAAATTTTACGAATTTCCACAAAAAATGGATTTTATTCAAAAAATTTTGAAATTTTATTTAAGCATTTACATAAAAATATTGCAGTAGCGATATTGGTTAACAATATAGAACAAATGAATCCTAATTTAATTGAAATCTAGTATTCACTACAAACATTATGCGCTTAGTCGCGATTATAGAACACTCCCAAAATAAATATGTGCTCTAAATATTAAAATACAAAATAATATTATGATTTATACGAAGGATCTGTTGTCTGATTTCCTTAGGGACATGTCCAGTTTTATACTTGGAACAGGGATATTATAGAGCGTGGGGAGAGTGCAATAAGTCGTCAATGGCTGCAGTAGTCCTTTCGCCCCATTCGGTTCCGTTGGAATGTACAAATCAACCGTCATTCAATATTAAAATTAAAGAACAAAATTCTTTAATATACCCCTGCGGATATGCAATTTTTTAAACAATATCAATAAATTTTTAATTCGAAGAAAACGAAGAAATTTTTAATACTAAAACAGCTATCAAAATTTAAGTTAACGTCATTCAAAGAGTGAAAAATTAATTTTGAAAAAAAAAACAATGTCCTAATTAAAGAAAAATTTTTTTTTTCTTTCAAATTTCTATTAAAAATTTAAAAGGATCAGGATCATAGTATTTATTTATTCTCGTTCTTTAAATTCATAAAATCTACGAAAGAATAAAAAAGAATTTATGAAAATTTCATTGCAAAAAAAAATTTATGTTAAAATATTTTCCCTTTTTTTTTTTTGAAATATCGTTTACCTTTTTAAACACATAAATAAATTATCAATGAATATTAAGGATATTCAAAGACTAACATACAAAAAATCTATTATCCTTTTTTTTTTTACTTTCTTTTATTATTTTTAAAATGATTTTCATAAAAAATGTGAATGTTAAATTTTTAGAAAAAAAAAATGGAGTAAATAAAGAATTTTCTTTAGGAATTTGAAATGTAAAAAATCTGGAGGATAAAGAAGTAGAACAGTAGTAAGCACTTGTTTAGTAACGTAAATAGCTCAGGAAAATATTAAATAGCCCAGGAAATATTTATATTTGCAAACAAATTAGCTCTCAATCATTTATTCTAAATGAATTGCAAAATAGACCAAATTACATCGGAAATCTGCTGAACGCAATGAAAAATCTAAGGATATTTCTAAATATTTGGAAAACTTCAAAGTGGGATAACCTATAATGTGACCTAAACAATTTTGGAAGAAAATAAAATTTCGAAAGCCAACCCTGTCTCAACAAAAATTAAAGGAATAAGAGATTTACAGTGAGAATCTATATTTTGAAGAGTGTTTTATTCACGGGATTACACCAAATACACAAACATGTTTATGTAAATTGGAGCCAAAAAAAAAAAAAAAAAAGGATTTTCCTATTAACATTTTCCTTAGCCAGCAACCTTTTTCATTTTTAAATCTCTTGTAAAATAAGCATGTGAGAGAAAAAATATTTTTTAACAAAAAACGAAAAAGGATTCCAAAAATTTAATTGTATTATAGAAAAATGAATAATTCAATATTAAGAGGAAAAATATCCCGTCCATTTAGAATTTTTTTCTTATTTTATTTTTTAGATTATTGGCAAATTTTTCGAAATAACAAAAATTTCAAAAAAGAGCAAGGAAAAATAAAATTAACTTTTGAATGAACTTTTGTTATTACCAAAGTTAATCTGTAAAATTCGTTTTTTTGCTTTTTCTTTTTAAATTTTAAATAACTTAACTTTATTATAATTCAATTAAGATTTAGATACTTGAAAATTTTTAGGAAAATGATTGGAAAGGCGATTGAATAATCGAAATATTACGATTTTGCTCAAAAATATAAGAAATCGTTTCAAATTATCATCTAATATCGCAATGTTCTTGGAAGAAACTGGAATAGCATTGAACTTGTGCCTATTTAAGTGGTTGTAATGGATCAGACTGGTTGCAGTGTTATTATAACTTGAGTAGCACATCTCAACCAACATGTCTATAAAATATAATTTTAAAAAATCACAGCAAATATGTTTCTTTTATATGAAAGAAAAATGTTATAATTGCTTCACCTCTTCAAGTGTAAAGACAAATAGCGTCAAATGGCAAAGTTGCTTCATCAATTCAACCACAAATTGTAGTTACATAGTAAGGGGAAAGTTATTTGTAAGGCCTAATACGTCCTAGTAATCTTTTATTTCACGCAGAGTTGCTCAATCTAGTTTTAAATGGATGGAAGTCATCTTAACTCTAGAGATATCTAACAGTTTAACAATTTTTAATTCTTTGTACTTTTTAATCCTTTATATACTCTTAAATTATTGCATTTCATATCAAAATAACTTTGAATTAAAAAACTTTTATACGTATGAATAGTTCTCACAATTAAGGTCAGTCACTTAATCTACCATTCACATGATATGTAACATATTTTTGTTGGCTTACGAACATCGCATCCCTACTATTAATTATCCTTAAACAAAATGACATATTTTCATATTAAAAGGATATTCTACGATATTATGTTTTATGTTTATCATTTAAAAAAAAAAGTCGTATTTTTTCGTTATGAGGTGGAAAATCTCCCGTTATAATGACACTGTACCAACACTGTTTATATATTTTAAATCTGAATTCAACCCTATGTACTTAATAAGGAATTATGTTTTTATAAAATTTAAATTGTTGCCATTTAAATTTTTAATTTTTTGAAATTTATGCTAAATTTTTAAAAATTCTATAATGTTTTAATTTGCTTAATTCTTAATAAAAATTTAAAAAAGCTTTTATTTAACAATGAAAATATAAAATATTTTATTTTAAAAGAAGGCTGGGATATCTTAGGATCCTTGTAAGATTTTATATATTAAAATTAATGCTAAAAGTTTTTATTAAATTTTGAAGTGAAATAAAATAAAAAATAGAAAGGATTATGAAAAATTTCTCCCCCTATTTTTGAACTCTTACAAATCTAAGTTAAAACAATCAATTAAAGTTATTTTAACACAATTTTTAATTATTAAAAATTTACTTGATTAATAATATTTTATTTTTATTTGCAAATTTAAAAACTAACTAATTAAATTCTAAAAATTAAACTCAATATTAAATTTTATTTAATAATAGGTTTATCAAAACGGCCAGCTGGACCACCACATCGAAAAACTAGTCTACCAAAACATTCAGAAGTTAAAAAAAGATTTCTTGAAATATGTGATAAAACATTATCCGATGATATAAAATCAGCTTTAAGATTACCAGCATTTGATTCATATGATTGGGAGGATGCCGATGTTATATATTTAATGCAAACAATGTTTATTGAATTGGGTTTAATTGATAAATTTAATATACCAATTGATACACTTAGAGAATGGTTATATGAAGTATATAAACATTATAATGAAGTACCATTTCATAATTTTCGTCATTGTTTTTGTGTTGCACAAATGGTAAGTACCTAAATAATATATTATAAATGAATTTTATATAAAATTTTTATTTGACAAAAATTTTTAGTTTTTTATTATTAATGGCAAGATTTGCAAAACTGTTTTAACACTCGACAAATTATTGTAATTGAAAATATCGATATTTGTAACCGCAATCCTTATTTCGTATCACTATCGCAACCATTTTTAAAACTTAAATATTTTCGATTAAATATAGCTGGATATTTCAAAAATAATTGCCTAAGACTTAATCAATGAATATTTTGATCAATGTTTTCAAATATCTTACGCTACATCTTTCAATTAATACTAAACAATTATGTAATACAATCTGAATCAAAATTTGAACGCAGCTCTAATGTTATTAATTGTATATCCCTAAAAGTATGCAATTTATCTTTAAATATTTTAAATTCTATTTTATTTAAAGGAAATCTTACAATAGCTATTACAAATGAACAAATTTTGAATTTCAATTGTAACTCTTGGGTTCAATATTCGGTTTAGCCCAAAATATATTATGCGGTATGGATTTTTCTGCCTAATTCAGAAGCTCATTATCTCCAAGTTGAAATTTGGATCTATTTAATACAGTGTTGTAATTATGTAATGCAAGAAATTCAAACACCGGTACCAAATCACTAATTAATTGACTCTAAAACTGAATTCAGTAATTTAGATTTTAAAGCAGAATTCACAAATTTTTGAACAACTACCGAATTCTAATTAATTTGTTATACAATCATGGGAAAAATATTAATTAAAATTTATTATACAAACTACCAAAATTTCGAAATATTTTTAAAGTATAATGAACAAATTTTTTTTTATTTAATTACAAAGTAAATCAATCTATATAGAAAAGTAAAACTTAATTAATATCAGGATCCTTATACATCCTTTTTGTTTTTTTTTTTGGTTTACATGTAAAACTGATACAACTATTATAATAAACCCCTATAATATACTATAAAAGAAAATCAAAAGGATTCAATTAATCAATTAAAATTGAAAAATCAAGAAAATATCATTTACTTTTAAAGAAAATTAAATTTCACTAAAAATTTACAGAAAAAAAAACATTATTATAGCAATTGTTATAACAAAATATACTTGTTATACATGACCAAATATGGATACATAGCCCCAATATGCATACACTATATTTATATGTACACGAACATAAAGTGCATTGCAATCATTTTGTTTATAATATAAAGCGTATATAATGGATTTTTTTCTCTATAAAGAAAATTTCAAATTTCATGTTTTATTTCAAAAACATGCACTTATAATAATCTACATGATGGTATATAAAAAAATAAAAACAATAGTTTATAACAAGGACACTTAAAATCAAGCACAATATAATATATACAATTGTATTAGTACCTATATATATATATATATATATATATACTCTTGACAACATCAGTTGGTTAAATTCAGCATGCTATGATCAAAGTGAAAACTATATTATACCCTTTACTTATATATATAAAGGGTAAATATGGTATATTGTTGGAATCCGAAAAATCATAAAATTTTGTTGAATCTTAATATTGAATTTCATTTGTATTATATTATGTAAATTGAGTTCATTATAATATTGTTGGACAGACATGTATGATTATACTGATTTCCTTAGAGCTTATACTAAATAATTCGTTCAAATATACTTGATTACTTCTCGTATACGGTTTATGCAGAAGTAAATAATAAATTAGAAATAAGGCAGTCGGAACAAAAAAGAAATTTCTCTAGCGTTTCGATAGACAAAGTCAATTATGAGGGTATACAATCAAAAATGTTTAAAAAAATAATAGGAGTGAAAAAGAATATAGTATGTAGGGGTATGTCATCGGACCATTATAGAATCAGATAATGTTTTACAAAATTTCTTATTCTGGAAGAAAATGGTAGATGCAGAATTTGTTTGAGCACGGGAAAGGGGGATGTGAGACCTCAGTATTGCTTCACAAACAAACAAAATTCTTAAATCAATTGAGTGAAATGATTTTTTTATTCGTTTCATTTAATCGAGCCGATTGAATTACAGTCGATTTCAAGAATTCAACAAGGGTCGTTTAAAAATTATATAAGATATTTAGATTTAGATTTATTAGATCTAGATTTATTAAAAAATTTTGTTAAAATGTTATTAAAGACGAGTCGATTTTATTGCAATCAAGTTCCATAATTAAGCCTTCACTACATTAGCTCTCTTATTTGAATCCCAAGATGAATTGTTATGGCACTCGAGTACTCATAGTTTATTTTCGACAAATTTGTGCTGTAAAAAATATTATTTTTTTTTCTTTTTATAATATTAAAAATTTGATATCAAAGGGTTTTAAAAATCTATATTTCATAAAAAAAAAAATAAAATTTAAAACTTAGACAATGGAAAAACAATGCCAACTTCTGATTTTCTTTCTGTATAACAAAAAAAAAAATAAGAAAGATAAGAAATTTCTTTTTTTGTAAATCTATAAAAAATGTTTCTCTTGTTTTCCCCTTTAAGTTATAATAGAAGAATCAATTCGATATTAAAATGTATGTAAATATTTTATTTCATACATAACAATCACACACATATCAGCACACATAAAAATTAATATAATTTTTAATGGCTCCCGTAAAATTGATGCCATTTACTTTTCCATATATAAAACAGCATGTTTTTTTTTTTCCATGCTGTTCCATAAAACCATGAGATTCTATATATGTATGAGCTTTCATCATACTTACAATCAGTTATTTTTCGATACACTCGTACTTAACACGGTACTGTTGTAACACATGCATAATGCTCTTTATGCTACTACTTTATAATTTCTCTTCTAAATTTTTTTTTACTTTAAAGTTTTAGTTTACTACACTTGATATACTTTTGGGATATTGAAATAAATGTTATGAAAAAATAAACAACACAGTCAGAACATAAAATACTCTCTAAGGATAATAAGCTCCCTATATATATATCTATATAAAAAAAATGTAAAAATTTATTCTATGTAAAAGGAGGAATAGACAAGAAAAATAGAACAAAAGTTAATTCTTGTAATGCAAGAGTAAAATAATATGCAAAAAAGGTAATGTTTTCGTATGGCTATGTTTGTGTGTCGATATATGTAATAATATGTACTTAACTTCGATATATGAGAAAATGCTGTTTCTTTTTCTCAGAAAATAAAAAAGAAATTTTTTTTTTTTTGAGATTGCATTCATTAAAAACGGATTCTTATTGTATAGGATGTAGTTGCAACGAAAATAAATGGAAATAAAATAAGTGTAAAATGGTCTAATATTTCAAAAGTGTTGTGTTCAGTGAAGAAAATCGTTTTCAAACTTTTCGAACGTTTTATTTTTGTATTGTCTGAGCAACGTTTTAAGCATTTTCTCATATCTCTTCACTATTGAATTTTAGCTATTTTCTTCTCTTTTATATTAAGGCTAAACGTGTAACGATGATAACCAACGGACATCCAACCAATATCACACAGATTTTTCATGTGTGATCGAACAGCCTCCACCCCAAAATAATCGAATCATACTTTTTAAAACGTAATTCCGTACAAAGCAGAAAAATATATTTTTTTTTTGTGAATTATGATTATATTATATGAGGTAGCAATGAAAAAATTTTAAGCTCTACAAGATTTATTCGAAAAAATTTCTGAAAATCAATTTTGATTAGTTTGATTAGTTTGGAGTCGGCTTCATACGATTTGGATGAAACCGATCATATGCAGTATGAAGCAAATAACAACACTTAAATATTTTTTGTTTTTGATTAAAACCTTAAAAAATTTCATTCATTTGTTCGATGTTATCATTTCGTATATTATTCCAACATATTGTTCGATACGAATATTATCGAACATGTTGTATGCTCAAATCAAAAATTTAATGAGTAGTTATTTAATAAAAATTATTTTGAGGAACATAAAATGTTAATAGTGATAATTTTCACATTTTGATTTAGAAAAATAATTCATTACTTTGCGCTACGTGATTTCAATCAAATCTTTTACTCTTATACTCTTATATACACTAATATTAAACGGTCTATTATCAAATATACAGGCTATTAATTTATTTTTATTATTTATTCCTTAAAGCTCTGCTAATTCTCAACATTTAATTGCTTTTATTTTTTATTACTTCAATATAAATATTTAGATTTTCAGCATTAAAGATCTACTCTAAAACAATATTAAATATAAAATAGTTTAATAGAGACTATATAAGAGCTACTCTGAACACATAATTGATAGTATGAAGCAAGTAATAAAATTAAATTGTCTTTTACATATATTATTTAGATTTGCTAGCGAAATTAATGGATTCAATATCAATAAAACTAAAATTAAATAAAATATAAATAGAAATATATAGCCCCCAAATATATATTAAGATTTTATTACCTTCTAAGCGTACAAATATACAATAAATTTTAAAAGGAGTTTTTATAATTTCGAATTTTTGCATAATTAAATGCATTCAATGACATTGTCATTAAAAATAGATGACTCTGTATATAGTGTATAGGTAGATGGCGTTAATTTAAGTAGAAAATCGAAAATCCAAATAGAAAAGAAAATTTTTACTAATAAATTGAGGTTGTCAAATAAAAATTTAGCAATTTGCAGCTAAAAAATATCGAAAATAAGACATGAAACCAGAAATTTAACGTCGTTTCGACCGAAACAATTTAAAGAACCACCCATTTCCAAAATTAACAAAATTATTTAACTATAGTTTTAGTGTATTTCATTAGGAAATGTGCTTCTATTAAAATATGCTAAGTAAATCCAATAATTTTAATGTAAGCTACTCTATACGTAATATTAACATGAATAGCGTCTGATATACCGTAGACTTATCTACACAAGAGCATAATGACAACGTGCAGTGTAAAAAAAAAATTTGAATTAAACATCAAGGATATTTTTTACTTTTTTTTTTTTTCTGTATTTTTACCTCAAGAGACTATGAACATTTTTTAACCATTAAAACGGTTTTTAAGAGAAAACATTGAAATAGCTAAAATAAAAATAAAATGGAACAAGCTGTCGATTTTAAAACGTATTGTAGAACATAGTGTAGTGAACCGAGAACAAAACACAAAAACCAGGACACAAGAGAGAATAATAAAAAAAAATGTGGAAAATTTTTTAAAGTGCAACATAATATTAACCTTTACTTCGAATAATGAATATAAAAGGAAAGAAAATCTAAGTTGACCAACATGATAACAGACCGTATAGTAGATTAGCCACGTGATATTAACATGTACTTTAATAAATCTAATTGATTATTCCACAAAATTAGACAAAAATGCAAGATACTTCAAAGAATACAGAACAAACCAAGAAGATCAATTTCCAAGAATGGAGACAAATCTATCCCAAAAATTGATTAAATCTTTTCATCTTCTCACAGATTTAACTCAGATTCCTCACATTTTAATGCAATTCCGCTCAGAAATTGAATGGTGTACAAATAGATAGTAATCAACTGTTTAAATATTAAACATATGGCATTTTCTCTTTTTCTTGAGTCCCTTTCAGGGAGTTGAAGAGGAAAAATGACCTGTTTGAAAAGCATTAAGTACTGGAATATTTAAAATGTGGCAGGAAGTTTTTCAATTGTTTTCTGAATTATCCGTGGCCAGGATCATTCTTTTGCGTATATCATTCTATTTCGAATTCACATTATCTCAAGACCACATCCGGTATCTGATCAACTATATTTTTAATTAAAGTTTTCATCTATTCCAGTTAATTGTTCAATCTGATTTGCTTCAACAATGTTTAATTTTTTAATTTACTGAAACCTTCAATAATTTATCATAAAATGATTGGAATTTCAATTCCACTTAATTTGGCATTTTGTCTCCTTAGGTTTTCACATTGAATTTCACTACTTCTGCTGTACGTACAGTTCAATTTTCAACTGTAAAGTACCGTTTCTTTAGAATCTTCATTTATCCTTGTCTAATAAACTAAAAACAACTTCTTACTTAATACAAATTATTAAGAATCAAAAATTTACAGTTCAACAAATCCAATTTAAATTAAAATTTTTAATTTTTCTTTTGATTTCAATTGAATAAATTGTTTTTTCTAATAAATTTCTACTCCTACATATTTTCTACCCACACAAACATGTTTTCTTTTGAATAAGAAATCTTTGACTGCTTGATGTGACAATTTTCTTTTAATTTCTTTTTTTGTATTTGTCTGGACTTAACAAAGTATTATAATGAAAATTAAATGGTTGAACATCATTGCTTATTTTAAATCCCTTGTACTTTACAAAAAAGGACCTTTTTTTCTTTAATCCTTTTAATTTAATAATGAACCACAATTAAATTTTAAATTTTCTATTTGTTTTTTTTTTTTTTTTTGCAGATGTATGCTATAAGCCATCAAGCGAATTTATGCCAACGACTTGGTGAATTAGAAGTTTTAATATTGTTGGTGTCATCAATATGTCATGATCTAGATCATCCCGGTTATAATAATATTTATCAAATAAATGCCAGAACAGAATTAGCTTTAAGGTATGTGTATGTGTGTATATATAACTTTGATAATTTGTAATTACATGTATTACATATTTCAGGTTGAAATGCAAGAGAATGCTCTTGTATATAATTTAACTCAATCATTATTTTATGAGAATGAACTTTTCTCTTAAGTGCTTCATTAATAACTTTTATTTCAATTGAATTTGAGCGGAATTTATTGCTCCTCTTCCCTCACAAAATGCTTAAATATTTAAAATTTCAAATTTACGTCAGAAAATTCTCTTATCGTAAATGAGCAGAATGTTGGAAAAATTGAATAATAATATAGTGTCGCTGAGAAAATATTACTTTATAAGAGGAAATTTCTCACTCCTTTATTCATGTATACAACTTTAATGATTGCACTATAAAATTTTCATACAGAGTGTCGAAAACTCGTTGGTATTCCTTATATGGGCAGCATAATGAGTTCGTATAAACAAAAGAATAATAGAAAAACTTTATTTTGTTACCCTCCTTGTCGAGTTGTTTACGCACCAAAGTTGGTCTTCCTTATAACTCGAGATATATGGCTGTAATTCCTCTTTGAGCGGAGTATCATCGGCGCCAAAGATTTTTTTTTAAATATTTAAGTACAAAATTAAATTTTTTTAAAAAAAAAAATTTCAACTTTTCCTTTAATCATTGTTTACTCATATACCATAAGAATTATTTTTTCGTAAAATAGAAGCTCATATATTCCGACTTTCATTTTAATATCAAATATTGAGCAAAAATTGAGCAAATTTCAAAAATGAAATATCTGTGAAGAAGAGAAAACCTACGGTAAAATTATTAATTGTAAAACAAGTGAAAACCTACCGCGATGCTTTTAGGGTATTATTGAGCCTCGAATGCTCCTTAAATTTCTTCAACATTCGTTCAATTTAAATGATCTCTTTTTAGCACTTTTCCAAAAAAATTTTTGAAAAAAGTGCTTATTAGTTTCACTCTGTTCGTCCGTCCGTCCGTCTGCCCGTGTGTCTGTTTACAAAACTTCTACACCTTTGAAGATAGAAAGCTGAAATTTAATACGTACATAGATCTTCACTAGAAACTTATTTCCGTAGAACAAAATTTTTACCTATCTCCCCGCCTCTAGAAGTTAAACCCCCCTAAAACCCTAAAAATGGCCTTTTTTAAATATTTGTTGCAATTAAACCATAAGCATTTTTGAAATTTTGCAAACGCGGAAAGGCAGTGGCTTGCTTCCCCTTGTGCGGTATACTATAGTTCAACTTAAGAAAAACAAAATAGCCGTTCAAATTTACCGTTATTTAAAGTCCTTTTTTTCCAAATTTTTGATGTCGTTTTTCTTCTAGACCCCAGACTGTAGAGGCTTGAAATTTTAGGAGTCATCCTAAATATATGCAATCCTAGAAATAGTTTTGTATATGAATGAAAATAATTTTAATAGTGTGATAGCTACACATAGACTGTATTTAAAAGCAGAATTTTCACTTGTTGAAGGGAAAAGTGCTACAATACAAACCATTGGTTTGACCCAACTTTATTTAAAATCTGTTTATACAAAACAGGTGAAGTCCTACATTAAAAATATTTTTTTATTCAAAAAAACCAAGCCGGATTTATTTCTAATTATTTTTAATTAATTGGCTGTTTTTTTTTATTTTTAACTTATTGTCCCCTTCTATTCCATTTTTATATTATTTATTTTCTTCTTCTTAAAATGAAATTTTATAAAAGTTTTCACATATAATAACTTTTATTATTAAAACATTTTTTTTTTGTATTCTGTAAAATTTCCTTGCAATGTCGTTTTTGATTCAAAACTTTTACATTTATTTTCATATGAAATACTTTTAAAAATAAACGTATATAAGACATATTATACATATATCCCACATACATACAAAATTACCCACATATTATAATTTTTTATATTCTTCTTATTTTCTTGTTCTTCTTTTTCTTAATATACATACAGGTATAATGATATATCACCATTAGAAAATCATCATTGTTCGATTGCTTTCCGTTTATTAGAACATCCTGACTGCAATATATTCAAAAATTTCAGTAGAGAAACTTTTAAGTAAGTATATTATTAGGGAAATTTTTTTCCCACATTTTGTTACTCTTATATTTTTCATATTGGAAACTTTTTTCTTTTTACTATTATAAATAAAATTCAATTTATTTAGAAAAATTTTATTGTATATAAACTTTATTGTATGAAATTTATTAAGCAAACTATTTGAAAAAACTTTGAAAAAAAAAAAACAAGAATTTTTGAAATAAGTTTCTTAAGAATGCACTCTAATCAATATTATAATAGGTTACCATATCGTATAAATATTAAACGAGTATATTACAGTGAACCTTCTTTTAATGGAACAATGTCACTACTTATTAACAAATTCAAAATAGAGAAAACTTAAATACTAAAAATCGAGAATTAAAGAATAAAACAATCGTTTAACAGAGAGGGAAAGAGAAACTTTCATACCATACGTATTATATTACTGGAGTACATTACGGTAAACCTTCTGTAAGTCGAACCATACCACTTACCATCAGTTATGAATGAAATTAAAGTAGAAAAAATACTTGAATGCAAAACTTACTCGAAAGAGATCTACAATTATCGGTCTATGAGATTTTTGAAAAATAAACACATAAAGCGGCTCAGTCCCAATTAATAGATTCCGTAAAAAAAAAGTGTTTTAATTGTTCTTTGCGCAGTATACACAGATTTTTTGTTATTGAATTAATTTTTTCGAATAATTGAGTTGAAATAAATTGAAATTTTTCGGGGATCGCAACAACACATGACTGTTGCAATAATTTTTTTTTAGAAAGGCTCTCAGAGAGAAAGAAAGAGAATGATTGAGAGTTTCAATTATAAATAACTTCAGTTATAGAGAGTTTAAGTTTAGTAGAATGAAAGGAGTGGGGGAAATATATAAAAATATTTCTCTTTAAACTAATCTCATATAGAATCTACTGACGATGATCATCATTTCTTCAATACCTCGTCCTTAATTAAATGTGTTCTTAGAACCAAAATTTTATGAACAGTTTAATCACAATTTTATTTTAACATTCACGGACCTACATTATGAGTTTACCACATAAGAAACTTAATTTTGGAATAAACCCATTTTTCTTCGAAAATATTTTCAACGAAAAAGAAAAAAGCAAATTAAATTCTACCCACGATAATCAACATTTTTCGTTTTAGGTTTAATGACTGCGTCTTTAATCATTATTTTTTTTTATTCTCTCTCCCTATGCCATTCAAATTCATATCTTTCATACAACAAAACCAAAGGATCATAAACATTTAAGAGTAAAAGCATCAAATTATATTTTTATCTATCTAACACGCTTCGGTACTGGGGTAGTGGGTCCAAAATAGAAGAAATTTTTAAAACATACCTTAAGGTTATACAAAAAAAAAATTTATATAAATAAACATGGAAAAGAATTAGAAAAAGAATTTTCACAAAAAAAAAACGAAAATTCATCAAAGTAAAAGAAAAAACAAAAACAACAAAAAAAAAGGATCTTAACACGTAAAGTGTTTACAATGCTCTCCCAACTCACTACCTTTTCCACCATTCCCTACTTTTTCTTGTTTTTTATTTTTCTTTTAGATTTCAGTTCTAAAGTCTAAAATAAAGTAACGTATGTCACGAATTACCTATCTAATTAATTACAAAAAAAAAAAAAACAGAAATTATCAAAGCTAAACAACACCTACACACCAAACTTTATCCTATACCTACCATGAATTTGTATTAAATTTTCTTTAATGCGGTCAGTTTCCTTTTTTGATTAACACCAACATTTATTTGTAACGCATATGTGTATGTATTTGTTGTATTTATTGTATAGATATTTACGGTAAAAAATATTTTTTACCGTAAAAATTTCAATGAATACTCGTAACAAGGAATAACTAATCCTTTTAGAAAAATCACATTTCACACACTTATCGTGTGTTATTCGAGCACAAATAATTACTTAATCATTTAAAATTTATTAAAAATTATTAAAACCGTGGAAATTTCCGTATTAATAAAGGAGTCGTATATATATATTCCCCAAAATCAGTCCGAAATATACAACCATTCCAGCAACCATCACAACAATCACCACTTCTTTCAAAATTAATTTATTTTGATATAGAAACAATGAGATAAACAACTTTTCTAAAACCCATTCTAAAACAAATACCAATTAAGCTCGTAATGGTATAACATTCCAGACCTCTGCTTCCCTTCTCAATTCTGTCCTTCTTCCACGAATTCGAATCAACCTGAATTCCTCAAAAATTGGCTAAGATTTTTTTATCCCTTTACATTCACTAAGTCTGTAGCCCGTTGAAAGGAACGAACCCAATGATATTTTTGTCTAGAATTCCCCAACGTCGAACATGGCTATAGAAAGAAAGTGAGAGAGGGGTCATCATTTCTTTCTGATTGTCAAAGCAGCCTCCACATAGAGAAACAGAACAACACTTGAATTTCTTATAAAATATCACAAATATTTTCGTAAAAGACTTAAAAATTCCTATTCGTAAAAGACTTAAAAATATTATAACTTTCACAATAAATCACTAGGTGTTACTTGATTAATTTTAATTAATTTTATAAAATTTATATTTTAAAAAAAATTTGTTAAATCAAAATCAAAAATTTCAATTGAAACTGATCTAGGGACTCAATATAAATTACAGCACCAACAATAATTTCAAAAAAAAAAAAACGAATAACATTAATGTGCACGATTGCACGAACCCCTTAATTAATTATTAGAAAAAATATGTATGTATGTGTTTGTAGCTACTTATATATTAATAATTTTATGGAATACATTTTACACCAACGTTTTCGCGCGCAAAATATGAGTAAAAAAAAAAATAAAATAATTTTGAGATTATTATGAAAATACGTTTTGAAAATTGGCGTACAACAAAAACAAAAAGACTTAATCATCTACTTTGCTCACTTTACCGTACAACAACACAAAATCAATATAGAAAAGTAAATAATAAAGAAAAGGTGAAAAAAAAATTAAGAAAATCTGGAAAATTTTTTCACTGGAGATAAAAAAAAACTTTACGTTTTTTTTTTCAATTTTCATTTTTTTTTCTACTTGTTTCTCTCTTTCCTGCAATTAATTTATAATTAATAAGTAATTGAAACAAAAGCTCGCGACGTAAAATAGAAAAATTTAACAAATAAGAAGAAACAGAATAATAAGGAGAAGAAGAAGAAATTTTATACCTGAAAGTGATCCTGGTTAAAAACAAGGATAAAATTAATTACAAATTCTTCTTCAAAACACTCACCTCATTTTTTTTCCATTTGTTCCCCATGGCGCAAATCACCATCTTTCACATGGTATTTCACATTGTAAAATTATTTTCTCTTTTTTTTTTTTTTACAATTTCTCAGAAAAAAAAAAGTGAGCAAATAAAAAGTTAAGTTGTAATTTGTTAAAAAGAGAACAAAAAAAAAATTTTACTCACTTTACTCACTTTACCCAATAACTGCTTTTCAAATGAAAAAAATTTTCTTTTACTAAAAGTTTGAGATTTATAATTATTAATGATGAGGTTATTATACACTTTATTTATTATTTTTAAATATTATATTATCAACAACACCAACAGAAACACCAACAATTATTATAGAAACGTTTATTGTAGAAAATCCTTGGGTTACTACAATGAAAGCAAATAAAATTTAAAATTTACAATTTTGAATGTTACTTAATATTTTTAATGATTAGGTTAGGTGTGATTAGTTTGACACGGCTACCCGGAGGGTATACATATAGGCCAAACATAGGGATCGTTGTAGTACCGCCAAATTACTCCTTTTCCCATCCATTAGAATCAGGCCGAGTAAATCGACCAAAGACTCTTGCAATTACATTCACTAAATTCGTAGTTTCCTGAAAGGGATAAAACCCAAGAAACATTCGCTTGCAAATCGCGAATGCTAGTAGATGTGTCGCCGTTTCCTTCTCCTTTTCGTCACGACAGCTACTATAGAGATCATTTACGAGGTGGCTCATATTCCTCGCATGTTCGCCAATCAAACAGTATTCGATTATTACCTCTATTACAGTATCGATTACGCTTCCCTTCGAAGAGATATTAGACCCCTTGTGAAGCGATGCAAGTCTAGTTTTTGTCATAACTTCCTTTTCGTGTTGCATATTGTTCAATTTGCACATCAAATAATTAATTTCAATTCATTTTAATAGTAAAAAATTAATTATGAATTTATGAAAAAAGTGAGGGAGCCAAAATATATATTTAATTGAATTTCTCTTTATTTTGGTTAAGTTAATCAATAACAATAATGTAAAATGATGGCAGGCAAGTTGTGATTTTTAGATAACCTTGGATTAAGTAAGATAAATTTTAACAGAATCTAATATTGAATAAAAATATTTTTAAATTTTAACAATTAAAAGTATTCTGACCCCAACAGATTAAAAGTATTAAGAAACATACACATTCAAAAATTAAAATGCAATAATAAACTGATGAGTTTTAATAGCATTTTTAAATAATCCCTGACAAGAATTTCGGACCTACTATATAACTTTAATTCAAAAATACTAAATGAAAGCCTCAATGACTACGTTATGTGTTTTTTGCTTGATTATTCTTTGAAAATTTCAAAAATTTCATATTAAATTCTATAAAAAAAACTAAAATATACAAAAAAAATCTCCATGATATTTCCAGGAAATTCAAATAATTTATTTTAAATTCCAAAGAATACAAAAAAAAATCATAAATATTTTTTTTTTTTTAAATTTATCAAAAATCTCATAAATTTTTTACTATGAATCAAAATATTTTTCAAAATTCCATGAATAAATTTATAATGATTTTTTATTTTCAAGGAATATGCCATGAGAATTAATAGTATGGAATTAATAGTATATTGAAAAACTATATACTCGTATTCCAATTGGAATAGAGAAAAACAAATGCTTTGTTTTATAAATTTTTGATGCTTTCCTTAAAGCATCATGAAAACTTTGATATTCTATTCCCAAATCTTA